CTGGGAAAGCAGCAAAGGATGGTCCAACTCCTTGGGTCCCCACACTCACACAGGAGACCTGAGACAAATTCCTAGATCCTAGATTCAGACTAGCCTAGCTCCGGACAACTATAGCCATTGGGGAGTGAACCAGCAGATAGAAAAGTCTCTGTCTCTCCTCCTCTCTCTCTGTAAGTCTGACCTTTAATAAATCTTTTTTCAAAAGCTAAAATAGGAGATGGCATCTACTCTTTGGAAACTGCAATAATCAGAGGATTTTTTTCTAAAGATATCACTACTAAGTGACTACCTCTCAGACTCATTCAGAATGCTTCAGGATTCTAATGAATCTTCCAAATTCAATGAACCCCAGGACCCCAAGGTTAAACCTGTCTTAACAGGTTTCTATCACAAGGCTGTTCTAAAAGAAGAAACATTTCAAGGGATGGTAAGGACCCTTATCATAGGGAACTGTTAGGATTCTTACAGACTTTCCAATCCCAAATCAATGAGGAGTCATTTCTTCAAGTAGGCCCTTCTATCTTCTATGTGGGAGTAGACAAAGTCTTCAAATTCTCATTCAACAATTCATTTTGCAAAATTTTTTTTTTACTATCCCAATTAATCATAGCACTTCGCAAAATTCTAAAATGGTTTTCTTCTCTAATGGTGAGCCAGAACAGAAAAACACAGTTGCAATGAGGTTTGGAGAAACTGTCCCACAAATTTAAGTAATCTGTTCCCTCCATTATCTATCTCTCTCTCATATATATGTATGATATAGCATATATCATATCATAAATTTTATAGATGAGATAAATATATATAAGTATTAGATATAAATTATATATAAGTCATAAGTAAAATATTAATATATAATAGTAATGTGTTATTTTATATAATTTTATATGAAACTATAAAAATTATATATAAATTATAAATATTTTATGTAACTATAATATATAAACATAAAATAAAAATATTGATTTATTTATTTGAAAGCCAGAGTTTCAGAGTGAGAAACTCTGAAATCTTCCACCTACTGATTCATTCCCTGAATGGCCACGACAGCCAGGGTTGAGCTAAGCCAAAGCCAGGAGTTGGGAACATCATCCAGGTTCCCATCAGGAAGCAGGGGCCCAAGGACTCGAGTCATCTTCAGCTGTTTTTTCCAACCATTAGCACGGGACAAGATCACGACTGGAGCAACCAGAACACAAGCCAGTGCCATATGGGATGCAGGCATCACATACAGTGGTTTTATCCACTGCAATACAATGGAAACCCCATTCACCAACAAGTAAGTCTACATCTAATCCAAAATATCAAAGTTCAGTTGGAGATTTTTAAATCAAAAAAATCCCATGGGGGCCCAGCACAGTAGCCTGTGGCTCAAGTCCTTGCTTTGCATGCGCCAGAATCCAATATGGGTGCCAGTTCTAATCCAGGAGGCCACACTCCCCATCCAACTCCCTGCTTGTAGCCTGGGAAAACAGTCCAGGACAGCCCAAAGCCTTAGGACTTTGCACCTGTGTGGGAGACCCGGAAGAAGCTCCTGGCTTCTGCCTTTGGATCAGCTCAGTTCCAGCCATTGTGGCCACGTGGGGAGTGACTCATCGGATGGACGTTCTTCCTCTTTCTCCTCTTCTCTGTATATCTGATGTTCCAATAAATAAACAAATAAATACTTTTTAAAGTTTCATATCATCAATTTTGGAAATTATTTTAGCCAATATCCTACTTATTTTTCATGAAAGCAATGCAGCATGCAACTCTACTTCCAAATCAAAGATGGATTCCCAATGAAACTGTTAAATGTATCTTATTTTTTTTTTTTTTGGATTCTGATGTTTTTAATTTTCATTTCTTCAAAACAGATTTTTTTCTCATTAAAATTTTTAATGACTCATGGGGTCATACAATAGTATCATTTTCTTCAAGAAGGTTCTTCGTTTTCTGTTTCATTTCTTCAATGGCACATTAGTCATTTAGCAGCATGTTATTTAATTTCACAGTGTTGTAGATTTCTTTCTCCCTGTTGTTTTGTGGTGTTTTGTTAGTCATTTAGGTTCTCTGGATCTCAGCTTCTGCATTTGTGAACTTCTTTTTTTCATTATATTTTGACAATTTTTACTTGGCTAAAGATTACAGAGAGTGAAATTGAGTGAAACTCCATCATCATTGTGAGCTTCAAATGAATAAGATTACAAAACCTGCAGGTCCCAGTACAACAGCTCAGTGGCTAAACCTTCGCCGTGCATGCGCCAACATCCCATATGGGTGCCAGTTCATGGCTTAGCTACTCCACTTCATATCTAACTCCTGGCCTGTGACCTGCAAAAGTGGCAGAGGATGGCCCAAAGCGTTTGGACCCTGCATCCATGTAGGAGATCCGGAGGAGGTTCCTGGGTTCAGATCAGCTCAGCTCTAGACACTGCAGACACTTAGGGTGTGAGCCAGAGCACAGATCTTTCTGTCTCTCCCTCTCTTTGCCTTTCCAATAAAAATAAATGTGAAAAAGAGGAGATGAGCCGGGAGGGGTGGAAGAAAGAAAGGAGGAAGGGAAGAAGGAAGGGAACGATGAATGGATGAATCCCGATGTTAATGCCAACTGGAGATCCCAAAGAAGATTAAATTAGTTTTACAAGAGCCATTAGACTGGTGAAAGAAATTAAAAACAAACCAATATTAATTTTAAAAACATTTTAAAGTTGCCACAGTTGAAGCCTTAAATAAACAACCTCAAAAGCAAATATATGTGCTTAAAACACTTAATTTTAAAAACCAAAAGGCTGCAAATCAGTATTCATTACAAGTTTAAAAGATTTAACAAAAAGGAAAAAATACCATATTTTAATGAAACAAGAGATAAACACATAATGGAAGGTGGGTGGAAAGCCAGAATCTGGTTCTTTAAGAGCACCACTAAAATGAATAAATCTCCAGGCACAGCAAGATAGAACAAGAGTGAAAGAGAAGACACAACAGAAGACAGAATCATAGGTCCTGCAAACACTTAAAAAGTTAACAGCATTTAATTTTAAAAATCCCTGTGCAAGTGCTTCAAAATTTAGATGAAATGAATAAATTTACAGAACATGATCTTAGTAAAAATTAATTCAATAAACAATCCCATATAATATAAAAGCAAGAAATAAAATACCAAACTTCACACTGGAAGTGGGTTTCTTTGAAATGAATTATCATTACATGAGCTTACAAAGCTTTAATGACCCAACTGTGTCTAAGCTCTAATTTCTCTATATTCTTCTATTAAAATAACAAATCAATTGCTAACTAGTAGAAGCTGGCTTTTGCTATTTCTAAAATTATAAAGTAAGTTATTAGCAATAGATGTAATGGGGAAACAAAAAATTCATGCAAATACAAAAGAAGTTATATATAACCATAAACACTAAATAAATTAAAACTCAGATTAACAAGGATTTCTTACATACGTTTTAAAACATAAGAATCTGGTCACCACTATAAACGCTTCCCCCACCAAACTCCAAGTGAACACAAACAGAATTGTAAACGCTGTCACCTGACATGGGAGTCCTGTCAACTCCAGGCTTCAGGAGCAGCTTCCTGCGCCTACCGGTCAGGCTGCAGATGATCCTCTCAGAACCTGGATCCCTCCCACCAAGGAGACACAGACTTCCAGCTTCAGTGCAACCTATAACCAGCCTGGGGCAGGCATCTGGGGGGTAACTCAGCAGATACATGGCTTTTTTTTTTTTCTCTAACATCCTTTCAGATAAATCTTGGAAAATAAAATCATCTAATGCTTACATGTAACATTGGTAAGATACAGAATTTCAGGGTACCCAAAAGTCACAAAATGTAACATAAGTAGAAAAAAATTGAAATGTTATCTCTGTGAGTTCAACATGAAATGTAAATACTGGATGACTCCCACGGAGGTGGTGGGAGTTAGACTTTTAGGGAGAGGTTTAACTAACATTACATAAACCAAATGAACAAATCTTCTAAGTCTTTAAAAGGTATTTAAATTTGTAAAGATCCTTTCAGACGTGGGCCTTTGGCACAGGGGTTATGCCCCCACTAAAGGAGCCTGGGACGCCTGCATCCCATATTGCAATGCCTGATTTAAGTCCGAAGCGCCTCCACTTCCCATCCATCTCCCTGCTAACATACACTCCGGGAGGAAACACTAGGCTCCACTTCTTGAGCTCCTGCCGCTCACATCAAAGCCCCACAGAGAACTCCCACTTCCAGCCTGCAGTCCTAACACTTGGGGAGTAACCTCTCAGATCTTCTCTCCTCCTTTTACACAAAGTGAAAACAAATGAATACAAAGAAAAAACAAAAGGTCCTTCAACATGGCACTTCCCTCATTAAACCTTTCTCTCCTGCTTCCTCCAGAGTATTCCATATCTTTTATCTGCCCTGTCCACAAGTGTCAGACACTAGTGCAAGTGCTTTATCCTGTGGAGGAACTGAAACTATTCCAGAAGCAGCTAACCACATCTGGCGTGAGGTTTGGAATTTCATTTCTCGCTCTTACATCATACAGAGCTGTTTAAATAATTACTGAGTTAATTTTTACTAAGCTCATCATCGGTAAATTCATCCATTTCTTCTAGATTTTGAAACACTTGCATAAGCGCCTCACATCAACACGGTATTCCTTTGCAGCACTCGGAAGGCACACTTGGTGCAACCACCAAATCTCAGACAAGCAAGCCACAGGGATCTTAAGGAACCATTAACTCCTTGAAACATAACTGCTTTTAAAAATATGTAATATATAATAACGTTACTACACTGTCCAGGAAAGGATGGGGAAGGATATGTTGTTTTAAAGTAGGTAAAAGCTTTATAAAATTCATAAAGAATAACGATGGATTCGACACCCAGGGAAATAAAACCGAATTCTGCACTTGGAAAAAAAAACTTTAACAACAATCATGAAATGAGCATTTCTTCTCTGAACTGCACTTTAACCTTTTCCAGATCAACGTGCTGTTTGCTCAAGATATCAAAGGCAATTTTACTTGTGAAAATTTTCATCAGTTTCCTCCAGATGTAAAAGGATGTCCTCGGCGCACTCCAGGGACGGAGCACCCGTGATTTTCTCCTTCACGCTCAGGAACAACTGCCTCAGCATGGCCTGCAGCATCGCCTCGTCCTCGCTGGAGAAATGCGACATCCTCTGTAGGAATCAAACGCCCACTGCCATTAGATACAAGCAAGAACCGCGCACTACGCACGCGCAATCCCACCCAGCGCGGGCCCCCGCGCAGCGTCGTTGCCTAGGAGACCGCGGCGCGCGCTGGAAGGCGCACCCTCGGCTGCCCGCGCGCCTTTCAGGAAAACAAGTCACCTTACTTTGGGAATCCCGGATTCCTGAGGCCCCCTCTTCTAGTAGTCGCCGTTGCCAGGTTTCAGTCCCCACAAGAGCTCAAACTGCCCGGACTCACAGCTAGACTCGTCCAGACAGGCTCCGCTGGGCGGGCCCGACGGCGGCGCGTCGGTGCTACGCGTGACGTCAGCGCGCTGACGTGGCCTGCTGCCGCCAGGGCGCGCCGGCGGAGTTACCTGCTGGTTCTCCTCAGGTGTTACCGTTCTGCCCTCGGGCGTAAAAGGGAAAAGGTTTCAACATGAAGGAGATATCGGAGGTAAAACTGAAAATGGCACTGAAAGTTTCGGTGGTAGAGCGAGTGGAGATTAAGCCGCTTTTTCTCAGGAGGCAAGAGAAAGGGACAGTGCAGTGCCCTGAGGTGCTGTGCCTGAGGTAATGCGTCCTGCAGATTCTGTGGACATCCATAATTATGTTTTAACCCAGTTAAAGGAGGTGAAAGAAACCAGGAGAGAGAAATTGGACATTGGAAAGATAGGGGCCTGCGAGTGTGCCGAATTGGGATACTTGAACTAGTAGGGTCAGAAAGAAGCGATGAGGATAAAGTTGGCCACATCTGGAAGGAACAGATCGTGTTTTAAGGGATCTTTTTTTTAACATTTGTGTTTTATTTATTTCTTTGGAAGGCATACTTATGGTGAGAGAGAGAGAAAGGTAGAAATCTCCCAAACACTGTTGCACTCCCCAGATGGCCCCAAGGGCGCGAGCTGGGCCAGTCTGAAGGCAGGAACCAGGAGCTTCCTCCGGGTCTCCTATGTGGGTGCAGCTCTTGGCATATGCTGAGGGTGCTGCAGCCTTGCCCCACCTGGCCCCCTCCCAGGCTCAGCTCTCACTAGCGTCAGGTGAGTTCCTGTCAGGGGAGGTCTGTGATGCAGCCTGGCTTATCCTGTCACCACAGACACGTCTCAAAGGAGCACATAAAATGGCGCACAGGTGTGTGAAATAGTGAAGAGCAATCATCATTATGCAAATTTGAAACAAAATTGGGTGCTATCTCACTGTACTAACAAAAAATCGAAAGATGACACATTGGCAAGGACATGGAGAAAAGGGACCCCTGGCACGCTTGATGAGAATGTAAGATATATGGAATGTGGAAATATAGAAATATGAGTGCAATTAGATATCATTGTGCTAAGTGAAAAAAAAAAAAACACAAGGAGGCAACTTTTATCACAGTGTCTCATTCTTATTTGCGGTATTCTCATAAGGTTTAAAAGCAGTTCCCATAGGCTGAAAGCAATGGGAAAGGGCAGAAGGAATGAGGAAAGCAAACACGATAGGAACTTCATAGGTTCTACAGCACCCAGGATAGTTATAGATAATGCCCACATGCTGTATGTTTCCCAACTTTAAAAAAGACTAGCAGCTAGGATTCTGAATATTTCAAAATGTTAAATGTTATAAAAGGTGAATGTGTTTTTCTTCTTGGACACTACATGATACATTTTTATTTCAAAACACCATATAATAACCCATAAATTTAAAAAAATGCAACTTCTGTATGTCAAATTTTACTTAAATTAATTTTTTTAAATAATAACAAATTATTCAGCTGGGAAGAATTCACCCTTTGTTACTTTTTCAGTCTGTTTTCCAAACCAGTTTCATATCTGGTTTTAAAAATAGCTTCCATGCTTGATAATATTTAATATTTCAGTAATAGTGTCTTTATTCATGTATTTTTCTCAACAATTCTGAATAGATTTCCTGGAAGTATTAACTGTGAACTTTAGCATGAGCATTTTTAATTTTTTTTTTTGAATTTGTATTGAAAAGATAGATTTATAGAGTGGAGAGACAGAAAGATCTGCCATCTGCTGGTTTACCTCCAAGTGTGTGCAATGGCCAAAGCTGAGCTGATGCAAAGCCAAGAGCCAGAAGTTTCTTCTGGGTCCCCCACGTGGGTGCAGGGTCATAAGGCTTTGGGCCATCCATTTATTCTTTCCCAGGCCACAAGCAGGGAGCTGGATGGGAAGTGGAGCTGCCGGGACAGTAACTAGCACCCATATGGTTTCTCAGCACCTGCAAGGTGAGAATTTAGCCACTGAGCAATCACACTGGGCCCAGGATAAGCTTTTTTTTATTCAATTTTACTATCTTATTTTATTACATAAAAATAAATCTCATGTATTTCATGTGTACAGCTTTAAGTGTGTAATGATACTTCCCATTCCTAATCACCCTCCCTTCTTCACTTCTACCATCCATCTTTCTTTTCTTGCTTTTTCTTAAATTTTTACAATGGCATGCTTTCATGTTTACTTGATATTCATAGGCTGACCCCTTCACTATATAAAAAATTCAACTTGTAAGTAGAAAAACTGTCCCCAAAGCCTATAGACAAAGAATAATAATAGTAAAATATCAAAATGACATTTACACTCATCACAGTTTTTGTACTCTATTAGTTATCACAAATCAGGAAAAATATATTTTTTATCTTTTCAAAACTCACACAGTACACTAAACAAAATGGTCTCCACTTGCATAAGATAAACCATTTTAAAGGTTGCAAGCCATTTAAAAAAAATAGAATTAAAAACAGTAATCAATACCATAAAATTTGTTGATTTGAGTCTTACTATGTGTAAATACTGAGTAATCTTTTTTTTCTAATAGTGGCCAAAAATTGCTAACATAATTCAATAATGTTCACAGTATTCTGGTAGATTAAAAAATTACAGGAAAATAGCAAAGGTTCTTGGTAAATATTAAAGCTGTCATCCATTACTTCAAGAAACTTACTGTTCTATTAAGTAAGGTCACCCATATAATATATACTTGCTATAACTAGAAACATCCCAACACAAACATGTACTGAATTTTTATTACAGAAAAATAATTTGACTTCTTAAGTATAACAACTTGAACATATATATTTGTCTCTGCTCTTTCCAGAAACCCAAGTATAATGATTTTTTTTAACAAATACAAAACTCACAAAGAGGTTAGACAAAATAACAGATTTCAGTTTGTTAAAGTATTGAAAGCATAGATGAAGGTGTGCCTACTGAGAAATAGACATACAGTTTGGAGAAGAATGTTTAGAAGTTGCATGTGGGAGAATTTAGCTAGAATTATCAGGTTTTCCTTTACAAGCAGGTGAATTTTAGGAAGCATTTACCGTCATTCAAGCCACAACATAAAAAAAAGATTAAGAGGGAAGCCTTTTGAGTGTGCACAAGCTTCACTGTACAACAAAATACCTGAAGAAAAGTTTATTTGTCCTAGTGTCAGTGGGAGTATATTCCAAAGTCAGAGCTTAAGAAACATAGGCAGATGCATTCAGGGTAAAACCTTTGGTATGTGAGTAATCCAGACATGTATTTCTTTAAAAGTCAAGGAGAAGCTGGGCCCGGCACGGTAGCCTGGCAACTAAAGTCCTCACCTTGCACTCACCAGGATCCGATATGGGCGCTGGTTAGTGTCCTGGCAGCCTCACTTCCCATCCAGCTCCCTGCTTGTGATCTGGGAAAGCAGTCAAGAACAGCCCTAAGCTTTGGGACCCTGCACCCAGGCGGGAGACCCGGAAGAGGCCTCAGATCGGCTCAGCTCCAGCCGTTTGAGGAATGAATCAACAGATGGAAGATCTTCCTCTCTGTCTCTCCTTCCTGTGTATCTGGCTTTCCAATAAAAAAAGAAAAGTAAATAATTCTTAAAAAAAAAAAAAAAAAAGTCGAGGAGAAACTAACCAGAGAGAAATAGCTCATCTGTATGGGAAGAGAGAAATTGAAGACAGGGTTCACCCAACTCAAGCAGTTTTACTGTTGCAAAAACCTAGTAAATTCATGAGTGAAACACCAAGTAAAACGTGCTAACTAATGAACTTTTATCTCCAGTCTTAACATTTCACCTGTACTGTGGACTCATATATAATTGCCCGTTGGGTATTTCCACCTTAATAGAAAACAGAATAGTCATAATTTAGTATTTCCAAATAGAAATTTTGAATATTCTGTATTTCCTATTTCTTCTTTTCGAAGTTTCTACTGAATTTTTATTTGTTTTCATGTTGCTTTGAAAGGAAAGACAGATATCTCATCTGCTGATTTACTACCCAAATAACCCGTAACTGCCAGGACTGGAGCAGGCCAAAGCCTGAAGTCCAGAACTCAATCCAATTTTCCCACATGGGTGACAGGCACTTGAGCTGTCATTTGTTGCCCTGTGAGCTTCTTCTTCAAAGACTGTGAGATCAAAACAGGAGCCAGGATACAAACACAGGATTCTGATATAGCATATAGGTATCCAAAGTCGTTAAGTCATCAATTAGATGCCTGTCTAACATTTCAGCATGCCTGGTTTCTGTATTGAACCCTAGTTATTGCCTCCAGAAATCTGCTAATTCAGATCTTGTGAGGCAAGCAAAAATGACCCAAACAATCGAGTTTCTGTTACCTGTGTGAAAAATGCAGATTGAGTTTTTGACTCCTCACTGAGGTTGAACAATCCTTAGTTATTCTAAATATTTGAAGAATGTACTAGGGAATGGAAGCCCTTTTGCTCTGTCTCTCCTCTCTGTTATAAAGCTTTGTACTTTTTTTACATTAAAAAATAGTTTCTCTATAGTTTATATAGTTTGTAGATACACTTTTAAGAATATATTGAGGGCCCGGCGCGGTGGCGCAAGTGGTTAAAGGTCCTCCTCGCCTTGCACGCCCGGGATCCCATATGGGCGCCGGTTCTAATCCCGGCAGCCCCGCTTCCCTTCCAGCTCCCTGCCTGTGGCCTGGGAAAGCAGTCGAGGACGGCCCAAAGCTTTGGGAACCTGCACCCGCGTGGGAGACCCGGAAGA